ATGTGTTGAATTTTTATTATCAACATCAGCCTCAACGAGCAGTAGAACAACCAAACCCCACCGAGAGTTCTTATATAACGGGTGAAATTCCAATAAATTTTTAGGGGGGAAATTATCGTTTTGGTCTACGGCAGGTTCGTCTGAAAGTGGCTTACTTCGGTGCTCTATTCTGCAAACATGATGATTTGTCATGTGCAACCGCAGCGGCTTCCTTCTGTGAGTCCACATTCGGACCTAATCCGTATCTTACGCGCTCAACCTCAAGATATGTTCCTCAGATGGATCCATTTTGAATGCTGTTATATCAGCCACTACTATGGTGGGAGTAATAGTAATCGGAAAAGCCTCAGATCGCCACGGTCGTAAACCGTTTCTGTTGCTTTCCTATGCTGCTCTGGTACGTCCCCCGCCCCCCCCCCCCCCCGAAGGTGACCTCACGTTTCTCAGACCCTCCCTGTGGTCGGCCTATTAATTGGACTCACCAGGAGCTCGTTGACGCTGTATTATGTGGGAATGTTCATAGGCGCTTTGGCAGGTGAGAATTTGGTATAGAACTGCTAGTAGCTTTCACGGCTGCACTGATTTATCGTGATATAGCCTAAGTCGACGCGGTTATCCAATCGTTAGTGATTCCGTTTAGTTGCTCACTCGATCTGAAGTGATTTTTGAGGTAATCGATCGCCTCAATACCGTGTGCGTTGGGTGGTTTACTATAAACCGTCGGGGTAATTAATTCCGAATTCGCGTTATTTACGATTAAACAACAATTCCATAACCTGGTGGTCACGATTACACAACAATGGAGTTTCACCCGTGAAACGCGAACTAATGTTTTACGCCAAGTGAAAATCGCGATGTGGAATATGAAACTTGTTTTTCATATCACGGGTGAAACTCCAATGCAGTGTGGTAAAATTTGCGCATGGTCAACCACATGTGTTGGTGACAATATGAAAACTGAGCTTTCAAAACTCTGACAAAAAATGAAATATCCTTGTTACTTTCTGTACAGTGTACACTCATCGTATATATTCTCCCAATTTGTATGTAAAATCCTATGATTAGTGAGGAGAATTTCGAGCTCAGCTGAGGAGAGCAAACATTTTTTTGCAGCACTGCTCCAATGTATTACTATGCGTTACCGACCCACTTTGCAGTAACCAATCGCCTCACAATCGGCTACGCGAGGCGATATGATGATTTTTCAATTAACTTGGGCCGTTTACCGAGTTAGTAGTGTGCCTCCCTCAGGTTGCTCTACGATGGGCCCCCTTGTGATATCAACAGCATGCCTAGCAGATGCAGCAGCAGATGATCATCGCTTTCGTTTGTGGATGTACCGAGGGTGTGGTATCTTATTATAGGAGTTTTACGACCACACTGGTGAAAAACATATTTCACGACCACAGCATACTACGAATATCGAGTTTTACGCCACTTCGCGTAAAACGGTGAAACTCCATCATAAGATTCAAAGTATGTCCGATTGTAGTCCGTCCTTCTCCCTCAGGTACTCTATGGTGGGCGGCCTCGTTATGCTAGGCATCGCTCTGTGGCCAATGATTGGTCGTTTTTCCAACTACGTTTTAGGCCGGGCCGGTTTTGCCTTCCTGTGTGCATCTATCGGGCTGATAGGAATCCTCTATATACTACTCGTTATACCCGAGACCAATCCACTGCTACGAAATGTACAAGTGCTGGACAATCGTCACGCGCAACGAAATTCCCCAGAGGGGATCGATGATAACAAGCAAGCGTACGTCCGTCTGTTTGGGAAGGTGTTCCCTGCGCGAACCCTGGCGTTGATCACAGCGTGTGTGGTGGTATGCCTCACCGATATCCAGAGGGACGGCTCGGCCGGTATAGAATTGTTGTATTTACAACAAGTTGTCGATTTCGCCCCTGAGGACATATCATTAACGATGTTTATATCGGGCATCTTGGGTTTCCTATGTAACCTATTGCTACTACCGAGAGCGATAAAGAAGGGATGGATGAACGGAGAGAGAATGATGTAGGTTTTTGTGA